GGATCATCTCTACATGAAGATGGAGGAAGAGGTGTGATATCAATCAGATGGCTTAGCAAGGCATTGCAGGTAGGTGTTTCTTTAATGAAGCCACCCATCACACCTTCAAACAAAATTGAGACCCAAGATGAGGCACGACTGCCACTGACACGAGGTCTCAATCTTGAGGAGGAGGCTTCCCTCAGCTTGGTCCTGAACTCCAAAAGCAGGGATGATGGACAAACAAGAGGATAAAATAGCATGTGACGAAGCATTACTATCAAACGTGAAACTAATAGAGCCCAACATGACAATTGCGTACTATCAAAACCAGCAGATGGGACAGCAACGGCTTTAAGAGCAGAGAATACCACATTAGCCTGAACAGCCTTTTCATCTTCTGAAGACAGGTGAAAAGCCATTAGCAGTATCTCAACATGAAACAAAGATGGAAGGATCCCCAAAAGCTCGTCCAAGTTAGGACACTTTGAACATATAGTCTTTGCCTTCTCACAGACAAAATCAGCAAATATATTGTACATTTTGGTCCTCAAGCTGCTGCCAGCAGAATCTACCAGACAGACAACAGCATGCGCAAGTAAACCAAGAGTTAGATCATTGTAAAGAAAAGCACCATTTTCAATAACAAGGATTTTCTCGACAAGTGATTCTTCAACTCGATCAGACAAGACATGACGCGATAGGAGGTTATGGAACAGATCAAGGCAAATTTCACTGAGATGCCGATGACCAAGTTTCATTTGTTCATTTAGAGCTATCCCAGCATCATGACCTGTTGCTTCAGCATCACATCCTTCGGAGCTAAGTACAGAAAGCAAAATATCAATGTGGTAGCTTGTGAATTTTCTGCACCCATCTTCATATACAGGACTACACCATTCAGGTGATAAAATGCAATCATTCAAAAAGCTGAGCAATTCGGTAGCAGCCTGAATGGGCGTGCTGCTTGTATTTGAACTATGTGCAACAGCAGGTTGATCATACCCATCCACAGATCCTGCTGAGCGACCGCCCTCAGAGAAAAGGTCCCCAAAGAGGGCTTCATCTTCATGGCAAGCTGTGTTTTCAGACTCAGAAGTAACGGATGTTTTGGTGACACTGGAACATGACCTCTCCAATTTAGGCTTCAATTTGACACCCTCAGAGTGAAGGAACAAGAGCAGTTGCATCACATTATCCACCCATTGGACTGATGGTGAGAATATTATTCTCAAAAGTTCCTCCACTGAGTACTTCTTCAGCAGGTTGACCTTAGCTGAGTGAACCTGACATAAAGGAGGCTCCAAGAGTTGGCTGGTACTCACACCTTCAACATCGAGGCCCTTGTACTCGAATAGCTGATATGTTCTATTCCTGACGTCTAATATTAGCTTGAGAACATAAACAACCACACGGGGGCAGTAGGCCAAAGGAGGCCTTGGGTTAACAGCACTACTGTACTTCCACACGTCAGGATCCAAATGATCCAATATTAAAGCTGCAATGCATGCTTGGATGTTTTGAAACACGTTGGTGTTGCAGAAAATTGTCTGTACAATTTGAATAAACTCTTCCAGCAACAGCATTACTTGACTATCTAAGCCACTCTCAACTGCAGGATATCCACTTACGAAATCAAACGGCAGCTTGAACAGGGTGGGCAATACCTCAGTGAATGAAGCAACAGCCCGGAATAACTTGGCATCAAAGTGAGTGTATGAGCTATTTTTAGTAAGATTACCCAGTAACTTGAATACTTTCACACAAAATGAAAATCTCTTCCTCAAATTAGGAATGGCAGATTTCTCATCAGATGGAGCGGGAAGTCTTAAAAGGTCCTTGCAAATAGTAACAAGACGATGAACACACTCCAAATGTACAACTGCCCAATGCTGGGACACATTGATCAATTTATTACAATCATAAGGAACAGACTGCCCAAGAGTGGTTGTATTCACATTGTCAGGGTGCATCCATTCAGAAGCTAACGTCATTAGAAGACTATCAGCTGCTTTCTCTTCCTTTGAACATCTCCCCCCTGCAGAAGCAAACCGAAAAAAGAAAGGTAAAAACACACATTATAGACCATGTAATTCAACATACAAGGCGGCTTTAAATGGATCCAAGAATACCTTGAAGCATGCATCTCGTACCGTCCTGCCATTTACTACAGTTATCTTCAATTAGAGATATTGGCAACATATCCATGCTAGCATTAGACGAACATGGCTGCAACAGATCTAGCTCTTTATCCGTTTCATCAACTAGTGCTATTTCCAGTAGCTGCAGGATATAGCTCTAAATATAGAGAGAACGCGAACATTAAATATAGCACAAAATATGGTGCATAAACAACAGCCTAACAAACTTAAAGAACAGATTCCACTACAGTAAATCCAATACCTGAAGCATTGAATCATCACTGTTGCAAATCCATTTTTCCAGATAGCATAACGCAAACTCTACAGAAAGCTGAATAGCCGCCACAATTACAGGTTCAACTCGCTCGACTGTAATAATATTAAATTAAGTCACACGCATAAAATTTCTCGCAATTATATCCATGAATACATAAATTATAGTGCTAAGAGTACCTGATAAAGATCGAGTGGAGTTGACGAGTGCAAGTGCGAGGGAAGTGACTGCTTGAATCTGCGACTGATCCCAGAATTGAAGCCCTAGCTTGTTGCCATCGCCAGCGACGGGTTCTACGGCTTGCCGGAGAATTGAACAGAGTTTCCGGAACCCTAGATTGAGTGATGAATCAGCGCGAAGTCTTTGTGAGAGATCATCGCCAGATGAGAAAACATCGACGAGCTTGGCGATCTCAGCCATCACTCTGATTATTATCACAGAGAAATCAATCAGTGCATTACAGTATGATTGATCGGAGAGCAGAGAGCTCTCGCGATTAGAGAAGAAATATAGGGTTTGAAATGGAAATGAGATTGAAATATGCACTTACAGTGTAAGATTTTATTGAATTGGGAGGGTTTAGAAGTTGTGTTGATGATTTCTTGGGGAAAATGAAGAAAGTTCCTACGTTTTAAATTACTGCCTTATTTCCTCCTGGTAAAGTCATGAAAAAAGGAAAATTACTTGTAAAGGCGGTTTAAGGCAAGAAATGGAGAGATGTCATTGGGCACTAGTCGACTTTTGGCATTAGAAAAATGCGACTTTAGTGTAGCCTCCAAGTCATTCTTTGGAATTTCTTTGTCACCTCTTAGGAAAGTGTGCTGCTCCTGTGATTTGTTGTCTAATAATTCAGCATTAAAATTGATTTTCTTTGTTTAAACCGACTTAATCAAAGTTATCTCAAACTTAAGCCTTAAGGTGCAAAATAAAGACAAACGTCATGCATCTAGAGGAAAAATAAGAAGGCTACACCTCTTACATCAGTGTGTGATATTTTTAGTCCCGAAAATTTTGGAAATACAATAGTTTATCAAGTTGGTACTTCTAGACTCATTTAAATTCCAAAGTGTACCATATTAATTTATCATACCATTGTATTAATTCAAAAACCTTGCAGGGGATGCGTATAGCATTTTAAGATCTCAATACGAGAAAGAAATCAAACATATAACCCACTATAGTGGCTTGTAAATTTGCTTTGCTGCGGAAAGCTCAAGTGAAAACCTATTAGAACTGTGGGCCTCACTCGTCTACTACTCGACCTTAAGTAACTACAGTTAGGAGGACTAATAGCTACCATTCCATTTTTTTCAGCTCAAGAAATGAGCAACTCTTAACGCATTCAAACTTGAAAGTGCACTATGAATATCTATCCTTCCATTGTTTTAGTTCAAGAAATGAGCTTTTAATACAAATAGCCTCTCTTAATTCTAAAAATATACACATGTATTTGAGCTTGAGTGACCTAAATCACGAGTCATATATACTAGTGTGTTATGTTTACACACTGACAAAGGTATCTCCTCTTATTTTAGTACTAGCGGGGAGCTAACTTGAGTGTTTAACGTAATGCCCTATTTTTGTGCGCGATTTGGAGAGAAAAAAATGTACACTTGAATGAAGTTTATTTGATTGCTAATGGAGTTTTACCCATCCTAAATGGGTCTGCCTGATTATGCTTTAGTTAAATTGATGGCGCCATTAGGCTCATTTTGGCTCAGTCGAAGAAAGAGTTTGATTCACATTTCCAATGTAACTATTTTAAATTGAATTTCATCAGAGCATATTAACTTAATTTTTTCATAATCTTTGCCTAACAACTAGAGGAGGGTTGAAACACGAATTGTATAAGAAATTAGTAGAAAGACTACTAACAATGTGTTCTCAGCAAAATCGTTTTATAATATAATGCCAAAAATAAACCGCTGAAACTGCTACATTCTTTTTGGCTAATTGTTTTGTATGAAGGGTAGGCTATAAGATTATAAAATAAAAATAAAAATTCAGGAATAGTAAACTTTCTTATTTGCCCACCAAGCTACACTAGTTGTAAGTGCAAAGCCTTCAGCACTTGTTCATCTAAGTATTACTAACTCAATTCAGCTCGCACGAGTTGTCAAATGGACTTCGGGATTAACTCAACCCCAAAAGGTAGTTCAAGAGGTGAGGATTGTCCAAGTCCATATAAGGAGACCACCTATAGTACCCTTCATTGTTGATGTGGGACTCAACACCCCCTCTCACGTCCAGGACCGGACATCTGGAGCGTGGACAACTATGGAGGTGTTTAATGGACCTTGGGCCTAACTCAACCCTAAAAACTAGCTTTTAGAGTTGAGTTAGGCCCAAAGTTCATCTAACATGGTATCAACAGTCAGGCTCATTCCAGCTCATCCCAATGATTGTTAATGATGTTGGGTCCCCATTTATGTCATTCGCGCTCCAGGTTACAGGCCTGGGCGTGAGAGGTATTGAGTTATCCCATATATGGTCTTGGGCAATACTGACCTCATAACCTGGCTTTTGGGTCGAGTAATCTAGATTCAGGCTTCTGGTTCCTGAAGTATATATGTACCAGCAATAGCCATTATTTGCTGCATGTTCAGTTACCAATAAGTTTAAGCTTTTATTGAAGTAGTATTACATATCATACAATCACCTTGGTTTCCTATCTAATATGTCTAACAAAACATAACAGGAAGAAACTGTAGCACAATAAAATTACAAAGGTAAAGAGAAAGCAAGTGGAAAAAAAGGTAGTAAACAAAATGGAGTAGGTTTATTTGAGAAATTACACACAGAGCGTAATGAAAAAGTAGTAGCTAGCTATATTGCAGGTGTTTGTGTAATTGTATTTTGGACTAAGGAGAGGGGTTCTTCTTCTGTGGAGAAGAAGAAGTGGCAGCTGGAGGAACTCCGGGGAAGCCAGGTGTGGGTTGGAATGGAAAAGGAGGGAAGAGTGAGCGAGGCGGTGGTGGAGACGGCGTTAAACCAGGTATCACTGGTGGGAAGAGTGGAGGGATCACAGGTGGGAAGAGTGAAGGGGGCGGTGGTGGTGGAGATGGAGTTAAACCAGGTATGAGTGGTGGGATAAGTGGAGGAAATAGTGAAGGCGGAGGGCTTGGAGGTGAAGGGATAATTGGAGGAATTATTGAAGGTGGAGGAGAAGGGAATAAGGGAGGAAATATTGAAGGAGGAGGGGAAGGGATAATTGGAGGAATAATAGAAGGTGGAGGTAAAAATGGGTTAGGAGGAAGAATTGAAGGTGGTGGAAGAAGTGGATTTGGAGGCAAAGGAAGTCCTCCACCTATTGGATTGAAAAATCTTGGCTGAGCTGCAGCTTCAGATTGAGAGTAGTGTTTGTTAGCATCTTTAGAAACTGGTGGTATTGGAAGTCCTAATCCTGGAAGATCTGGCAAAGGAGGGAGCAACGGCAAAGGCGGTAGCCTGGGAAGAGGTGGAAGTAAAGTACTTGGCGCTGGTGGATCTTGAATTGGTGGGTAAAACGTAGGATCATTAGGATTTGAAATTGCAGACTTTTGAGGATCTGTTAGTTTCTTTTTGGAACTTTGAATGCTTGGCTTTTGGCTACAAAGATCTGGTTGGTTGAGAGGTTTGAATGTGAAGAAACCAGCAGAGAAGATGTGAGTCCCTTGTTTTCTCGACTTGAGATGAAGAGAGGATGAAGTTGCTGTCGACGCCACAGCGCAATACGGCTCGCTGCTCTTAATCAGCTTCACAGAACATCCCTTGATTTTCTTGACATGTTTGCTTACAGAGATAGGAAGGTCTACACTGAATTTTCCATGCTCATTGGTTTTCACTTCCTTGTAAAAACGTGATCTTGTGGCTGAGTCTGCACATTCTACTGCAACAGTGGCTCCTAAAAGCAGAGATTTAAATGCACATTAATGAACTGAAAAAATTAGGAAGGGAGCCTTGGCGTAACTCTGGTAAAGTTGCTGCCATGGATGAGGAGGTCACGGGTTCGAGCCGTGGAAACAGCCTCTTGCAAAAATGCAGGGTAAGGCTGCGTACGATAGATCCTAATGGTCCGACCTTTCCCCGGACCCCGCGCATAGCGGGATCTTAGTGCACCGAGCTGCCCTTTTAATAAACTGAAAAATTAAAGCTCGGGTGAGACCCGAGAAAAATTAATTTAGTTAGAAATTTTGACAAGAATGATGAACCTGAAATGAAATGACTAGCTCCCGAGAATTGCTGCTGGAAGCAAGTATCACAGAAAACAGTTCCCTCAACTACTGCAGTTGGGTGATGTTTATGCCTAGTAGTCCTTGCTTGTGAAGTCGAAAAGTTATGGAATGTGAGACCAAGAAAGAGAAGTGCAATCCAAACCCAAGACATTCTGCTTTTCATCATGTTTTGGATTATATAAAGTTTTCAGTTTTCAAGATCAGAAAAAACCATATGGATTTTCAGTTTGTAAAATAGAGAATTCAAGTCATTTGCTTGGCTTTGTAGTTAGAAAGGTTGATAGTGTATTGTGGGAAGTTGAGACAGGAAAATGAGGAGTCTTTGACATTAATTTATAAGGGGAGTGGCTAAGCCCTCTTTATTTCATTCATACTGAGACCAGTGAACTGCAAACTAGCAACAGTAATTTCACTCGTTTCCTTACTATGACCAAACAGAGACAAGAAAACGAGAAAGTTTTTGGGACAGATAAGCAGAAAAAAAGTATTAATTGAAAAGGTTGCTGACTTTCCTGTGTTTATTTTCTCTTTGGAAAATAAGGGAGTTTGTTTTTTAGTTGGTAAGAAATGAAAAATACAACAAAGAGACAGTTGGGGTCCCAGTTGGTTCACGAGACCTCTGTAGCAGCCACAATATCTGGACACCTTGTGAACAAAAAGAGTTGTCCATTTTCTTTGCCAAGTAGTAGTTATAGAATAGGAACAAGAGGGAGGGACATGCATTTGTATGATATTGTGCTTTCGCTTATCCACACACACTTTTAGGTTGGTCATGACCACGAGAATGATGCCTATTTTGATTTTTACAGTTAGGAAATTATTTCTGCCTTTTAACCGACAATGGAATTTCAGAAAGCCTCTGCTGTCATATGAAACTTTTATTTACCTTATCCTCCATTTTTACTTTTCCACACGACATGTAAAGGCGGATAATACCTTTATATATATATATATATATATATCACTAAAATTTCAACAAATATGAATCGTAAACATAAGTGAGATTAATAACCAAATACATGCATGACTTCTTTGGGGTTTGGCACTGGTTGATATCAGTGAAGTAATCTTTCACAGTAAAAAACAAAATAACATAATTGGCACAAGAGGTTTCCCTAATAAACACTGCGTGAGCAGTGTCGCAATAATGATTTAGTAATTTGTGGTGCAATAATTTCAATGAGAGTGACATGATTATTCTCTTTACCATATACACTTAATTAGGAGCTGAAATTGATGATTTTGTCCCACGTGATCTTTCTCTTTCTCTTCACGGGATTTAATAAGAAAATCGAGGTCGTCAATCTTTTTGGCAGAAGGTATACTATTCTTCTTATTTGTCTTCTGGCCAAGAGCGCCCGTAATACCGTGTTCAGAAAAAACAAATGGATGCCTCTGATTCTATCAAAGCAATTCAAAACTTTGGAATTAATTGGATGGGGCAGGTAATAGAATTCATCATTATATTTTTGAGAAAAAACCAAATCTCAATAATAAAGGAAAGATCGTTGTGGATTAAGTTATGAGTCCTAATTTAACTACTATTGTTGTTCTCAAATAATGATTCATATATACATTTATCATTTAATTATAACTAAGTAATATGTAAACTCACTTTAATTTGTACTTCAATTGTTAAGGTTAAATTTCTTGGTTCAGGCGTGTGAGTGTGACCATGTCATGATACTGTGTTTGCTTATGAACGTCATAGTTGCATAGCGAATTTATTAAAAATGAAATTAAATTTAAAAGAGAACACATGTATTAAGGTAATAATCATGCTGAGGTAGCAATTCTTTCTTCTCCTTTGTTATTTAAGCCTTTCATTCATGTACGTATAACCAATTGTGATTGTATGCTTGTTAGGAAAGTGCTCGCTTCACTCGGCTCTTTCGGCTTCTTATAACGCGAAAAACTCAAGGAAAAATGATACTGTATAGCTGCTATAAAAATAATAGCTGGAAAAGTGTATAAAATTTATATATATATATATATATATATATATATATATATATATATATATATATATATATATATATATATATATATATATATATATATATAGATAGATAGTAAAAATAGCACGGTCTAGCCAGTTTCGGACTGGTCATTCAAAAATAGCCAGCGTTTACCAAGTCAATGAAAAATAGCCACTATTTTGCTGCAACAGAGACCGGTCCAGCATAATATACTGGAGTTCGGTGCACCTGTGTATGAACTTCCAGCATATTATGCTGGAACTCCAACACACGGAAAGTTCCAGCATAATATACTGGAGATTCGAGCTTGTGTATGAACTTCCACCATATTATACTGGACCGGTATACTTTGCTGGAACTCCAGTATATTTTGCTGGAGTTCTAGTGCACTTATGCTGGAACTCCATCATATTATGCTGGAGTTCCAACATACTTATCCTGGAACTCCAGTATAATATGTTGGAGTTCAAGTACTCTTATGCTGGAACTCCAGCATAATATACTGACGTATTTTCCGGGTTTTGAACAGTGTTTTCGCTCAGATTTATCTTTACATGAAAAGTGGCTAGATTTCGATTACTTTTGAAACTGGGCTATTTTTGAACGACCACTTGTAAATCTGGCTATTTTTGAATTTCTCCCATATATACAGCCTAGTTTTGAGTAGCCCAATCTCTTCTAGCCTTTTTGAATCGATTGTCTTTGTAAATGACCTTTTTTTATTTCTCTTGCAAATGATAGACATTTCAGATCATGATCTTGTTAGGACCGAAAAAGTCAGGTGTCACGTGGAAGCCAGCAAAGCAAACCTTGAAAGACGATAAGTCCGACAACAAAGAGAAATCTACCAAAAGAGACACAAACACATAACGTGGTTCGGTCAACTGACCTACATCCACGGCGGAGATGAGGAATCCACTATATAAAAAGAGAGTACAAAATATCGAGAGAACAACCTCACAAAGAGGCAAACACAAGTGACACACTAATACTTGTCCCATAAAGTTCTCCCCCTAAACACGACTCTCAAACCCCATATGGCTAAATTGTGGATGATGTTGAATGAGAAGGACAGATCTTCAATTTATAGAACTCCAAACCTTTTCCTACAAGAAAAGGGACTAGCCAGATATGGGAGATTTGTAATTTGCTTCTACAAGAAGGAAAACCCAATTAAGGTAAACATGTTGCCCTTTCCTTCAACAAATAAGAAACCCAAATATGGTAAGAAAATTAGGACAACACGTAACAGATCTAAAGATACTTTTTGAGCAAACTGAAAATCTTATGAGAGAATATAAGATTACAGTTTAAAATTTTATAAATTATTGCATCGGAAGAACAAGTTCTTTCTTTGACCTGCCCACGAGCTTCTTCTAGTTTGTGGGGAGTATATAGAAGTCGGATTTGATATTTGGATATTTTTTGTATCAATGATCTGGCGAATTATCAATGATTCGTTCTTAGATTTTCTAAATGGAAATTTGTTTCTAAATGATTAAGAGATAAAAAAATTTAACTATTCTGAAATGTTGATTGTAATAGTAATTAAGGGGTAAATCAACCGAGTATTCAACTTTTTAAAGTCTTTCTAATTTCTATAAGAAAGGAACCAATGTATACATAGGGAAAGCCGTGTGCAATGAAAAATGCAAGCACGGCTTGGGGAGGGGTCTTTACTTATTTATTTAATTTAAGATTAACATTTATTTTATTTAACAAGGAACTTATCTACTCCATTCGACTAGTTCCGGTTTAATCGATTCGTAGGGTCTTAACAAGAGAATTCCTATCAATAATAAAAAAAGAAATAATAAAAGCCATATTCCACAAAAATAAATTCTAGAAAGAAATAGGGAAAAAGAGAATTCAAGAGGCCCATAAGTTTCAAAATAAAGATAAAGATGACTGCCAACTTGATATTTTGGTATTATTGCCACAAAGAAGAGCTTTCGGATTTTCCAGGGAAGATGGGATCAGAACAAAATAAATTTAAAACTTTCTATTCCATATCCGTTGCAACTAGTATTTGGGTATTTTTGCTTGAGCTGTACGAGATGAAAGTCTCATATACGGTTCTCAGAGGGGGAGTTACGCCTATCTCAATAAAGTATATGATTGGTTCGAAGAACGTCTCGAGATTCAAGCAATTGCGGATGATAGAACTAGTAAATACGTTCCTCCCCACGTCAATATATTTTATTATTTTGGGGGAATTATGCTTACTTGTTTTTTAGTACAAGTAGCTACTGGGTTTGCTATGATTTTTTACTATCGTCCGACCGTTACTGAGGCTTTTGCTTCTGATCAATACATAATGACTGAAGCCAATTTTGGTCGGTTAATCAACGTTAAATCAAGTTTTATTATTCTATGAGCAAACTGAAAATTATATGAACAAATATTAGACCCGCCTTATCCAAGAGGAAGAATTTTTTAGGGGCTTATATTTGCACAACTTTTCAAAATAAGAATAAATTCCAAACAGTGACCTAAAAAAGAAAATTAAACATAAATCAATCCAACTCACGACTCGCACGTAGATTATCAAAATACGTCTTGAAGTAAGTTTGGCAAGATAAAAGCACCCAAAAAGAAAGAAGAGGAAGACTCAATTGACACAATTTTTTTGTTTCCCAATCGGTGTCCGGTATACTTATTGGAGCCCGACTATATCCGGATTCGCGTCGCATAAGGCCCCAATATTCTGGAGGAAGCGCTTCCTACCAAGGATTCAATATATAAGTGATTAAATTTATATTTTAGTAAAGTAGAATGGCAAACATAGTTAAATATTTAGTTCTCATCCTATGCTCTTGATAAGTGCATTGGTCTTTAAGTGTAATTGTGTATCTTTGTGTTTGATTCTGGATTTGTTTTGACAGTGAAAGCAAATCAATCGTAAGCACAAGTTGCAAAGGAGAAATGGTTATATTGATTGGTCTGTAAAATCAACTCCTCATGTACTTGTAGTGGAGGGGCGTCCATGATATATCGACGGATGTGTTTAACATAGGGTTGAAGTGTGGGAAGAACTGTCTATTATTTTGCAAATCCTGGAAACTATTGCCAATTTGGATTTCATTTTTCGACCGTTTAATTTCCAGCAGTCAAATATGGCTAAATTCTCTTAAGAATTGCCAAACGTACAATTTGTTTAAGATGTCAAAAACGAAATACATATTTATGACCAACTATAAACACGTTAGTTGCCAAATAACTGTCATTTCTTTGAAGCAATGTATCATTTTCAAATTTCTCGCATCTGCTTTCTTGCTGGATCCGGTAAAAAGTGGAGGAAAGAAAATAGTTATATTCGCTTTTGCTGAATTTAATTTAAGTCATATGCCGGATAAAACGAATATCGAATTACTTAATTAATAGCTTGCATTTAGCATGACATTGTGAATGCTGACGATTGTCATTTTGAGTTAAGCCTTGTAGCACAAAAATCTTTTTTTTTTT